ATCAGCCGAGCAGGTATCAGATGCCCGTTGACAGTAACATTTGCCTTTTCCGGTTCTAAATCTTCATTCGACCTGTTGGAATCACTAACCCCGATGCCAGTTAATAACATCTTGGCTGTATCACTCCCTTTCAGACGATCTCCTTCATTACTTGCTTCACCCGAATCAAAAGTTGTTCCTGTATTTGAGTACTCGTTGGATGACAACTCAATTTCAGTTGCCGATGACTCTTTCCTCGTAATCTGCTTGTTAGTATTAACATTCTCATTTAAAATCACATTGCCCATTTCAGGAAATCTGCTTTTGCTTTCCTCCCCAAAACGCATGCCCCTATGAAACTTATTTGAATACTCAAAATGGTCCTGAAGAGACAAGCCTACGGGGCCCTTTTCGTCTTTTGACACAGAACCCCCATTATCCTCCTGCACCTCAGACATGCATGCAGAATTAGAAATGCGCCTCTTTATCTCACCGGATTTGTTCGAGGATCCATCGTAACTTGAATTTTCGTAATCATTCGACAAGAAAGTTGTCTTTACCGAATTTTCAACTTTTACGTAACTATTATAACTATCCTCAGGCTGAACGATGGACGAAAAAACTAACTTATTGTTGGTAACTGTAAAAACAACAACTGCAGAGCATGACCCGCAGGTCACTTTCTTCCTTCTGCCGTTATTATCATCCACACGGACATTCTTAGGCAAAAGCAATAGCTCGAAACAATTGTTGCATGTGAAAAACGGAGCACCACAGCCTATCGGACGGCAAATTCTCCCACCTGAAGCCAAACTGCTCCTGGGTGGACGCCGACGGATAAATCCGTCCACCTCTGAATTCACGTCACTCGGCCACCTCGCGTGCGCTTGAACGCTAGAAGATTTTAATCTGCCATTACTATAATCCCCCAGATGATCATGGTACTTAATAAAACTCTCGGCATTAGGAAAGTTGGAGTATTGATCGCTATAGGAGCAAGATGGGTGGTGACGGCTAAAATTAGGAAGGTAGGATGATGTCTCTAAGGCATCCATGTACATCATGCCATCATCCATGTATGGGCCCGACTTATACAAATTATATGGCGGTGGTACGTGGTAAGGCACAGGAGCTAGGTGGGGACTGCTTTGGTACTTCGGATAAAAGCCTCCACTGCCCGGTTCTTGCCTTTGCATCAGGTGAGGTGGCCTGGCACACTGGTCCTGGTAATGCAACCCGTTATAATTTTTCTGATCGTGATAAGTGTTATGCATCGGAATCTGATTCATTTGCAACTCGTAAGGATCTTGAAAAGCCATTTTTTTATCAAGCGGA